TAAGCTTAAAGCTCTCCCGTTGACCAATTTTGGATTAACTTTGACCAAATAATTGTGCTTGAAGATATCTAGAATGATCAGTACCTCACAATTTAGGTAACTGTACACCCAAAGGGGCTTTGATTTCTTCTTTTTTTCTCTCTCTCTTCAAAATAGTGGCCTACTCATGAGGCATGTGGAAAACTTACTTTGAAACTGAGAAGAATTTCAGAAGCAAAATGTGGCATAGTATGAGGGTCAGGTGTTAACAGAAAATAATCAAATATTCCAATGGCCGCATTGGTTGAGGAATCTCTTTTGGTCTTGGCCAATGATGACAACAGCAAATAATCAGGATCCGAACTGATTATAAATCCCACTGATTTTAACGGGAGAGTTTGGCATTGTTTCCTCAAGCCATTACTTAAATTGTGAGCCCTTTGGGGACAGACAGTGATAGATTACAGCTCTGATGAAATTGCTGTAAGCCACCCTGAGCTCATGGGAGACAAATATAATAAATAAACAAATTGGAGAGTTATTAAAATGCATAAATTTGCCAGTTTACACAAGAGCTTTCTGAAAGGAGGCCAAATTATATTCACTTAACAGCTCTTTGCCAAGTTTTCTTATTTTATTTTATTTTTAAATCTTCATAAATCAAACTGAACCTTTTCAAAATTCATGGGGATTACAAATTGTAATTTTTGATTCCTGCACCCATGTATCTTCCTAGCTGGGTAAAGAAGTCTGCTCATTGGCGGTCCCTGCTTGCAATCCAACCAAAGGAAACAGGAATGAAAGCATACAGCTGTGTTGAAAAAATGGATGAGAATCCTGGCCAGCTGTTTGGAAAGGAGAATGTAGGAAGCCGCTACTCTCTCCAAACAGCTAAGGGGTGCAATTTTTGGTTTTTGGGGGGAAGGAGGACAAGACTATGGTAGAACAGCCCCAACAGCTGTTTTTGATGGACCACGTAGACATTAGCATTTACTCCAGATCCAGTGTGCTCCCATCAGTGTCGTTTGAAGCTGTGTACACATAACGTTAGACACAATCCACATTTGCTCTGCAGTTTCTTGAGACATACAGCTGTTTGATGTGTTTTCTTTCAAACCAGCTTCCATCTGATGTGAAAGCACGAGCCCCATTCACTGTGCAGTAAAGCTGAAGTGTGCATATTTGAGGCAGTCGTTCATTCATTAGTAATTTCCATTTTGCATGCTGCTGTGGTCTCAACCACAGAGCCTAGGGCTTGCCGATCAGAAGGACAGCGGTTCGAATCCCCGCAACTGGGTGAGCTCCCATTGCTTGGTCCCTGCTCCTGCCAACCTAGCAGTTCGAAAGCACGTCAAAGTGCAAGTAGATAAATAGGTACCACTCTGGTGGGAAGGTAAACGGCGTTTCTGTGCGCTGCTCTGGTTCGCCAGAAGCAGCTTAGTCATGCTGGCCACATGACCCGGAAGCTGTCCACAGACAAACGCCTGCTTCCTCCGCAGTAAAGCGAGATGAGCGCCGCAACCCCAGAGTCGTCCGCGACTGGACTTAACGGTCAGTGGTCCCTTTACCTTTATTCCACAAAAAAGAAACATGCTCAAAGCAGCTTACAAGAATGAAAACAGGAACTCATTTTGAAATCAAACAGTGCAAAAAGAAATTCATAGCAGCAGAACACATTAGCAAATATAAGAATATACTAAAATAAACATCCCAGTACTATCACTATAACAAGGTCATATTGGCAACATTATGGTTCCTGGCAGTAGCAAAATATTTAGCTTACAGTGGTACCTCGGGTTACATACGCTTCAGGTTACATACGGTTCAGGTTACATACTCCGCTAACCCAGAAATAGTGCTTAGGAGGCCCCATTAGCTAAAGTGGTGCTTCAGGTTAAGAACAGTTTCAGGTTAAGTACGGACCTCCGGAATGAATTAAGTACTTAACCTGAGGTACCACTGTATTTCATAAAATTTATATACCACTTGAGTGTAGAAAAAAAACCTCAAAGCGTGTTACAACAATAACAGGGGAGCAGGGCAGTTTCCCCTTGGTCCTAGAAACCCGCTTCCCATTATGCTGTTAATAACAAACCCTCCAACATTTCTCAGATGAAAATAGGGACATTCTATTCCACATCAGGAATTTTCTCCCACATTTGATCTCCTGCACGCATGTATGTCAAATACACATATACATCTGTCACCTTTAGCCAATTAACAACCTCTCTGCCGAAACTACCTCACAGGATTGCTGTAAAGAAAAAATGTGTGAGGGAAGAGATTGTGTACAACATACTGTGGTACCTCGGGTTAAGTACTTAATTCGTTCCAGAGGTCCGTTCTTAACCTGAAACTGTTCTTAACCTGAAGCACCACTTTAGCTAATAGGGCCTCCTACTGCTGCTGCACCGCTGGAGCACGATTTCTGTTCTCATCCTGAAGCAAAGTTCTTAACCCGAGGTACTATTTCTGGGTTAGCAGAGTCTGTAACCTGAAGCGTATGTAACCTAAAGCGTATGTAACCCAAGGTACCACTGTAGCTTCAACAGACAAATGGAATGGGATTTTAGCTGTAAGCTACCTTGAGTGCTGGTCAGCGAAAGGGGTGGGATATAATCTACTCTACTGATAAAATTGATTAAAGCTTCCACAATCCATTTATAAATTTAAAGTAAGTATAAGAAGGCACTCAGTTAAACCTTCTAATAAACAAGTAGAAATATCAGCCACAAATGAACCAAGCACATCCCTTTGCATCTATGTAGGAGTGCATATACTCAGGTTTCAGAATCCTCTTCATATACTGAAAGGTTGCATAAGATTGGCAGGCAGCAGGCAGCCTCTAGATTGGCCAGGCGTGAATAAATACTAGGAGCCCATCCTTCTGCCCTAGCCTGGTCAACAGAGCACACCTTCTTTTGTTCAGTCTGTAAGTCCCTACAGCTTCTTAATACCCTCCAGGTCTAAACTAAGCTCTGACAACTTGTACTTTATCCTGACACCCCAATGCAAGAAATGTAAAACAAACCACCTTTCTTTTTATCCAATCACTCTGATGCTTTGATCTGGACTGCCTCTAGGACCCTCTGCTTCTGCCTTACCAGTTATTCATTTAATATCTGGCCTCATTCTGCTTTTTTTTTTTTTTTTTGTATTTACATCTCTTAATTTCTTTCTGCCTCTGTTATTGGTCTTATGATTGAATGTTTAATTTATTCATTAAGCAATATCTTTGCACTAGTGTTTTCTATAATTTATAGCACGCACAGTTCCCTGCCATGCTTTATTTGATTCTGAAAGATAGTTTATAAAAGGAAGGACCTGTAATAAAACACAACTGTGTTCCACTGTAATGCAGTGCATTTCAGCTTTGGGTCAGTTTATACTACATCATCAACTAGATTAAAGTCATAAAAATAGGAAAGCTCAGCACTGAACTGCTCACACCTGGGAACTACCAGACTCCCAAGCAGCGTGGATTGCTCCTGTTCAGTGTTCCAAAAATCTAACCATGCTTTCTCCACATCAGTCAACTCCATTTTCTCTCCCCATCCCTGGTTTTCCATCACTCCCACAGACAGCATCCCTTGTCCACTGAGCATGCTCACTCCTCAGTGGGTCTATGTGGGATGTGAAACACAAGAGCAGTCAAGTACAACATTCCTGGAGTGAACATATTTACACATGGGGAGGAATGTTTGTCCAGCCAGCAGGTAAACTTCCTGTTTCCTTCTGGGCTGGGACAGACTTCCTCTGCATGTGACTAGAGGTGGGTGTGGCCTCACCTGTGCAGGTAATGACAAAAGCACAGGGCAGGGCACCCATCTCTCTCTCTTTTGACTACATGCATCGAAGAAGCAACATCTGCTTAGCCAAAGATGCTCTCTTGGCTTCCAGCCAAGAGAGGACAGAGGGACTGTCTTCTTATGATAGTTTCTAGGTATATGTTATTTTTCTAAGCTAAGTCTGCCTTCTGGGATCCAATTGTGCACAGAATGATATGTGAGTAAACTCTTTTTATACTTTCATAGAAGACTGTGTCGTGTGTTATTTTTTATGAGGGAATAAGGGGAAAATACCAGAACAGTTATTATAGAGGCTCTAGCGAGCCTGAGCAAATGCATCCGCTGCAAGTTTAAAAAGGGGAATGTTACTCTGCTAAATTGTGAACTTGTTAACACAAATTGGAAAGGCTGTTATCAGACAAGATATCCTCTCCTGCATCCCTGAACATTCCCACAGTCTCCACCTTCCTAAAAACCCTGAAAACCCTTTTGTACTTCTGCTAACCTTGGGTCTGCTAACCCCGAGTCTGCTGGTACCTCCCTGTTGTGCATGGATGGTGCCACTGTAAGGAATATAAAGACCCACCTTTTCAGACAATGAGCAAGCTGGCAGAAACATATAGCACACAGGTGGGGGGCAAGCAGCTGGGGGGAAGGCAAGACCTGCACCCAGTTGTGTGAGGCAGAGGATGTGTGGAGATGGGGAGAAGTGTGTGCGAGGGTGGCCCCCATATTTTGTTCAGATTGGTGCCTATGAAACATTTGTCCTGGTTGCTCATGAGCAATACATGCACACAGCCAATGTGGATGTGATACTCTTCCAGGCCTCATTATGCTTTGTGGCAAACTCCATTAGCACAAACAGTGGTACCTTGGTTCTCGAACGGCTTAGTTGTCGAACAAATCAGCTCCTGAACGCTGGAAATAAGTGTTCCGGTTTGCAAATGTTTTTCGGAAGCCAAACATCTGACACAGCTTCTGCTTGAATGCAGGAAGCTCCTGCAGCCAATCGGAAGCCGTGTCTTGGTTTTCGAACAGTTTTGGGAGTCAAATGGATTCCTGGAATGGATTAAGTTTGAAAACCAAGGTACCACTGTGTGTAGATAAGCATTTCAATCCCAGGCCATAGCTTCCATGCAGTGCAGTCATTGCAGTGCTGAACTGGCTAATCAAAGTGATAACATTGCATGCTCCTTCGGAGAAGGACCTGACTCTGTTGCATAAGACTGGAAAGGCTATAGCTTAGTGGTAGAGTATATTCTTGGCATGCAAAAGGTTCTCGGTTCAAGTCCTCGGATCTCCAGCTAGCCCTGGGAAATGCACCTTCTGAAACCTTAGCAGTCATTGAGGGGACAATACTCAACCAGATGGACAGACGTCAAACTTGGTATGAAGGAGGTTCCGAAAGAGCTTATGTGCATTGATCATGCTCCTTCAAGAAGAAGAATAAAATAAAATAAAATAAAATAAAAATGGTATAAGCAAAGAGAAAAAAATGGGAAGCCAGTATGTCGGAGAAAAGCAGCTGTGTTTGGAGAAGACCATTTTATTTCCATATGAAGGCTATTCAGCTCCGAGCACAATTCAAAGTGTTGGTGCTGACCTTTAAAGCCCTAAACGGCCTCGGCTCAGTATACCTGAAGGACTGTCGCCCCCTCCATCATTCTGCCTGGACACTGAGCTCCACCTCTGAGGACCTTCTGGCGGTTCCCTCACTATGAGAAGTGAGGTTACAGGGAACCAGGTAGAGGGCCTTCTCAGTAGTGGTGCCCTCTCTGTGGAACACCCTCCCATCAGATGTCAAGGAAATAAACAACTATCTGACTTTTGGAAGACATCTGAAGGCAGCCTTGTTTAGGGTAGTTTTTTAATGTCTAATGTTTTATTGTATTTTTAATATTTTGTTGGAAGCCACCCAGAGTGGCTGGGGAAACCCAGCCAAATGTGCAGGATATTAATAATAATAATAATAATAATAATAATAATAATAATAATAATATATTATTATCATCATCGTCATCATCGTCATCATCGTTGTCATCAAACCAAGCATGGTTTCTAATGCTGAAATTGAAAAGATTATGTACCCCACTTAAATATGCTGTTATTCAAAAGAAGATTCCACCAAGCATTGTGCACTGTGTATTATACTTCTTGGAAATGGTCACAAACCGTACACACCCTCTCTTTTTAACTTTTTACTCCCTTGCCCTCTTCCCTTCTTCCTCCGGAATTGTCATCCCCTACCCTGTAACTCTCCTATTACCTTTTTTGTTTGTTTGTTTATATCCTTTACAATACTTCCACAAGCATATGCTATAATTCTCCCCTCTTTTCTTTATCTTCTTGTTCGTACAAGCTGCCTTGAATAAAGAAGTCATTATCAGTAAGCCCACAATGAGACCAGACATCCACTTTCAAGATGTTGTATAGATGATATATTGATCAGTCCTCAATGAGTAATCGCGTTCTAATGAAAAGAGCTTACAGGAGTTAATGTATCTGCTCATGCAAACCACAAACGAAGCTTTCCGTGGCACAAAAGGTCTGGCTGTGTGAATTATAATTACTCCCTACAACAATAAAAGTCAGAAGTGGCTTTATTTATTTACCGCAATCAATGATCGTCTGTGGGCTACGCACTGAAAATTCGTTGTTGTTTTTTTACAAACTAGCATCCAGATTGTTTCCTTGCTTTCAGTCTCCCACTGAGAATTAACCCCGAAGCTACCGGCCCAAACCATGCAACAAGATGTTACAAGCAACATGGAGCTGCTTTCGGTCCGTGTCGCTTGCCCCCCCCCCTTCCTCATAATGTCTCATTCAGTACAAGGTATGCTGTGATGTCAGCATGCTGTAGAAGGGGCAGGCCAACTCCCAGTGTATTGGCTCACATTGTGTTCAAGTACAATGCATGAGAAAGAGGCCAGAGACATGGAGCAATGGCCGCTTTGCATGCTGTTGAATTCTGCTATGTTTAATTTCATCCCGAAACGAAAGCCATTTAACTTTTTCACACACAATATTTAAATTGCTGCTGAACCTGGCCTGCTCTAATTATCTGCATGCGTGACCATTGTTGATGTGGAACAGAAAGAGTAAAAGAAAGGCATTTATAATGTGAGTGAGCATTCTAGCTCATTTAGGCTGCAATCCTATGGACTGTTCCCTGGATGTAGGTTCTGCTGAACTCAGTGGCACTAACTTCTGAGCAGTTATATACAGGATTGTGTTATTAGGCTGCAATTGGTATACAAATTTAATAAATAAAATTGATTGATACAAATTTTAAAAATATACAAATTTAATAAATAAAATAACAGTATTTATTTGTATTCATCAATTTTATTTATTAAATTTGTATATTTTTTAAATTTGTATTCATCAATTTTATTTATTAAATTTGTATATTTATTCAATTCAACTGTAAACCTCAGAGCGGCTCACAGCACACACTTAGCTGAGATTAAGACCCACTGTGCACAGTGAAGCATACTTCTGAGTAATACACATAAAGAATTGCACCGTCTTCTAAGTACCTTGAACTGGGCCCAGTGCAACTATATTAAAACAGGGGTTATATGAAACCTAAATGGAACCCCAGTCAGTAATCCGACGGCTGCATTTTGGTCCAGCTGAAGTTTCTGAGTTATCTTCAAGGGCAGCCCCACACAGATTGCATTGCAAAAATCCAGTCCAGTAATCCACTGCATGGAGCAGTGGCCACGTCATAGCTGTCTAAAATAGATGCCGGTACTCCATGCTTTCACACAAAAAAAATCCTAGTTATTCATTGTTCTAGGCTTCCTGACTCATTTACAGAACTACACCTTGGATTTGCTCCTGGGCAATCAATTGTGACATCATGTGTGTCGCTTGCATGATGTCACATGACATGTTGTGGCACATGCATGACATACGGTGCACCAAGGCCCAGTGAGGCCCGGTGTACCCTCTGAAAGGCCCCACGGGCTCCACCAGACCCTCCCACAGAAGCAATGAGCCTGTTTGGCCTTTCACAGGGTGTGGCACACCCCATCGGGCCTCAGCGCACCATGTGACATCATGCGCACACCATGTTGGGTTGACTGGACAGACATTTAGTGTGTGCCTCGGCCCTCAGGGGCCCCCAGAGTTGGTGCCTATGGTGCCAGGCATTCCCAAGTTTGAAAAAATATGGCCCAGTTCTGGCAGAAGTAGTTGGGTGGATGACCTAACTAGATAAGAATAGTAAGACCTGCTGAGGTGAGGAGAAATAAGTTCAGCACCCCCTTGCACTCCAGTCAGTTGATTCCTTACTCTGTGTGTAGGGGGGAGGATGGGCAATGCTCACAGCATGGGCCTTTGGTACCCATCCCCACTGTTGCCGAGGCAACACACTGCCTACCCCCATCTCAGGACTACACAGTTCAGTGGTAGGTAGCAGGTTCAGACTCCAGTTAAAGGATCTCAGATAGCCAGCTTAGGAAGGATCTTGGAGAGCCACTGCCATTTATAGTAGACCATATTGAGTGAGAAGAAGAAGAAGAGGAGTTTGGATTTGATATCCCGCTTTATCACTACCCGAAGGAGTCTCAAAGTGGCTAACATTCTCCTTTCCCTTCCTCCCCCACAACAAACACTCTGTGAGGTGAGTGGGGCTGAGAGACTTCAAGGAAGTGTGACTGGCCCAAGGTCACCCAGCAGCTGCATGTGGAGGAGCGGAGACACGAACCCGGTTCCCCAGATTACAAGACTACCGCTCTCAACCACTACACCACACTGGCTCTCAGTGAGACAAACCAATGACCCAGTTTGGCTTGAGGAAGCACCATCTATTCCATTCGGTCACTGTTTTAATTCTGTAAAATGAGAACAGATAAAATGATCTTTAAAAAAGATTTCCTTTTGAAGGGGAAGAAATAATACAACTCATGGTTTTTTAAAATTTATTTACCAGGATTTATACAGTGGTACCTCAGTTTTCGAACATCTCTGTTGACGAACGTTTCGTTTTTTGAAGGCCATAAGCCCAAAAGTAAATGCTTCCATTTTCAAATGCACCTCGGAAGTCGAACGGCTTCCGCTGAGGTACCACTTTATTTTTCTCAATTTTCTCTATTAAATTTGCAGACCACCCTTCACGCCTCAGTTTTTGAACGTTTCAGAATTCAAACGGTCTTCCGGAATGGATTAAATTAGAAAACCAAGGTGCCACTGTATACTGCTTGATTGAGTGAGGAAAAACTCTCAGTGGTCTTCAATGTGATGGAAGTGACCCTTCCTTATTGAATTGTACAAACAAATGAAACCTAAAGGTAAAGGGACCCCTGACTGTTAGGTCCAGTCGCGGACAACTCTGGGGTTGCGGTGCTCATCTCGCTTTAGTGGCCGAGGGAGCCGGCGTACAGCTTCCGGGTCATGTGGCCAGCATGACTAAGCCACTTCTGGCAAATCAAAGCAGCGCATGGAAACGCCGTTTACCTTCCCACCAGAGCGATACCTATTTATCTACTTGCACTTTGATGTGCTTTTGAACTGCTAAGTTGGCAGGAGCAGGGACCGAGCAATGGGAGCTCACCCCATCGCGGGGATTTGAACCACCAACCTTCTGATTGGCAAGCCCTAGGCTCTGTGGTTTAGACCACAGTGCCACCTGCATCCTAAGCTAAGTCCTATGGACCCTGCAGAGGTCAAGGGCCTGGTTGGGATGGAGGCCACAATCATGGCTATGAATTGCTGGCCATGATGACAGGAAGGTGCTGGGGAAGGTTCTCTTTGGGTTAAATGGGGAGTTAATCAGTGAGCTGCTTTCTATACATGCTTCCATGATGAGGAAGCTGGATTGCACACTTACCTCTGATATGTCTCACCAAGTAAACATGCAGATGATCAGGTTGGGATAGTAATCTTGATTGATTCTTGTTTAATTTACATAATTAATTTGCAAGTGTAATCCTTAATATATACTATGTCAGAGGGCCATTAGTTAAAGCACACAGAACAACTGTTCTGCAGCCAGTGAAAACAGCAATGCGCTGGGAAGTAGGGAACAAAAGAAATGAATTAAGAGTATTAAAAGTATATTTTAGGCATTAAGTAATCAAGATAGGACTGAGGATTTTGTCACAGCATCTCCCCATGAGATTGCGAAGACCAGACAATTCCCCCCAAATTAATTTTTAATAATGTGTAATAATCGGAGTGGCACCAGTCTGTGCAGATTAGAATTCTTTTTTTCTTTTCTTTTTTTCATAGAAAAAGAAATATTTGTGCAGAGTTTTTATGAGCAAAGGTGACCTGAGGCTTCACAAAGCTGATTGA